GTTGTTACATTTTTTTTGTTATTGTTTCGGCTTAGTGGCAACCGCGCGCATCGGCATCAGCATCATAATCGAAACTCAAAAATCACAATTGGAATTGGAATCGGTATCAAATTCGAAAATGTGCAACATGAAATGATCGAAAATCCTTTCTTTTTTGTTTTTGTTTTGTGAATGCACCTGTGCCGGAGAGATGGTGGGGTTAATCAGCTGAAGAAAGCGCCATCTTGCGTTTGAGAGCGGCTGCAACAAATGTTCGTTCTGTACCATCAGATTACAAACAAAAACAATAAAACAGCAACAGTAAATTTACATGTTTATATGTATGTATATGATACATATCTATGCATATATATGTGTCTTGTACGTGCCCATGTGCGGGTTTGTGTGTGTGTGTGTGTGTGTTAATTTTTGTATGGCAGAAACAAGCCCAAAATTAACATATTAATGAATTTCCAGTTTCATTTTTTTGGTTTATTTGCTTTCGGCTCGTATTTTCGAATTGCTTTTCATTTTCCATACATTTATTTATATAATTTCTTCACATACATGTATATACAATGTATATTGTACATTTTTTTGAAAATATTTATTTATTTATTTATTTTTGCCGCCAAATCAATCAAAAGCAACAAAGAACAAGAGATTAAAAACAATGGGTAATATCAACAGTAACAACAGTAACAATAACAACAACAACAACAATGAACAAAACGCACTCATTAAAAGTCTAATAAAGTTTTTTCGGTTTTTTATTATATTTGTTGTTGTTGTTCGTTTTCAAGGTTTTATTTTTCATTTTTGTTGCTGTGCGTGTGTGTGTGTGTGTGTGTTGTCTGTGCCGCTCGTATATTTTTTTTTATTTCGTTTTCGTTCGATTTTCTGTTGTTAGTTTTTGGTTTTTTTTTAATGGTGTTTCTGCTTCTTCTTCATCATCTTTGATTCGAACGCATGTCAAAATGTCGTCGCGACGCCAGCGTCTAAGCCAGCGGCGACTGCGACGCAGTGAGCACGTTTAAAAAGTTATTAATTTTCATAATAATTAACGTTGCGCATTTGTTGCAAAATATTCAATACAACAACATTCCCACACACACACACACACACACACACACACACACACACACTTGAGCACAGCTAAAGTTTTTATATTATTATTATTTTGTTGTCTCCTCGAACACGACAAAATAATTGCTGACGTCGCATCTGCCGCCGTCGCTGCAGCTGCGACGTCGCGGCGCGTCGCCTCGCGTCTCGCATACAAAACAGAGCGCCGAGCTGAGAGAGGCGAAGCTTGTACACGCATACAGCAAGTGCTTACCAATACCAGCGCAGTAGCAGCAGCAGCAGCAGCTGCTGCTGCTGCTAAAAGCACAACACGAAATATCTTACCTCCCCGTTGCCAAACACACACAAAACTCACACAGTGCAGAGCCTGCAATGTAAGTGCAGATAAGCGAGTGAGTTGCGCTTAACTGCAAGCTCAGTCAAATGCGCTCTCCCACTCTCAAATGTTCAGCTCAAGTAGAAGCATTCTCTCAGCTGGCAATTTGCAGTTATTATCATTATCAGCATCACTAAAATGAACTGAGCTTTCGCAATCTGATCTACAAGTCAACGGCAGCAGCAGCAGCAGCAGCAGCAGCAGCAGCAGCAGCAGCAGCAGTGAGCGGGAGAGCGAGAGAGAGTGAGAGAGAGATGGGTAGCAACAACAAGTGTTCCCTTAAATTCGTTGCACAGATTACGCATACGCAGCGTGAGCCGGACTGCGAACTGCAGACGATCGCTATGTAAACAACTAATAACGAAAACAATGTTATGCAGTAGCAGCAACTACAACAACAGCCACTACGACAGCAACAGTGATAGAACGTGCTAAATTGAGTAACAAGAGCTACTTACATACATACATACATGCAAGCATACCAGCGTACGTATACGTACTGTACTCTCTCTGACTTTGTATGAGTGCAAAGCTATTTTTGGTTTGGCGACGGCAACGGCAACGGTGACGGTGACGGTGACGGTGACGGTGACGGCGACGGCGACGGCGACGGTAATTTGCCAGCAGCAGCTACCACCTGATGGTGCCGTCGACGTCGCCGTTGGCGTCAACGTAGCAGTCGACGCTACAGCTAGTCGTTAGGCCAGGTCGAGGCAGCCCAGCAGCAGAGAGCACACAAACTAAAGAGAGTGAGCGAGAGAGGCAGCCCTATTGACAGCAAAGCACCAAAAAAATCAAGAAGAACAACAAAAACAGCGCGCAATTTTCTAAATGGTTTTTCGAAGGACGTTGCTTGCACTTTGTCCTTCATCATAAGCGTGAGCGTGGGTGCGAGAGCGTGGGTGCGTGCGTGTGCGTGCGTGCGTGTGTGGGTGGCACAGGACGTGGGTCGCAGTAGTGCTCGCAATGTTCACAATTGCGTGATTTATCAGTTATGCTTGGCTCTGGAAAAAAATTGTCACATCTTGAGCTCTATTTATAAACTAGTCGTCACACACACACACACACACACACGTATATACCGTTTGGCGTATACGTAATTTGGCAACGCCAGCAATTCGCTCTGTTTTGAATGCGCCCCGTTCTTAACTGCCTTACCGTTAGACCGAAAGCAGAAGTAAACAAATACCGCAAAGGAGTGTTTAATGGGGCGGGGCGGAGGAGAATGGGTGGGTTATGGGTCTGGCAACACTGTGTTGGGCGCACAGGCAAACGGCGGGAATAAACGAGAGCAAGCAAGCATATTATATAATTTATTTATTTTGTTTTGCGCTCGCGGCAAATAGCGTTAATGTTGTTGTTGCTGCTGTTGATGTTGCTGCTGCTGCTGCTTTTGCTTCTGCTGCTGCGGTGGCTGTCGTTGTTCTTTTTGATAATCTGCGTCTCCGTCTAACAATTGCTGGGCCTTTCGTTTGCCAGCTTTTATGGCACTTGGAATGCTTTTGTTTTTGCTGTTCTTGCTCGCAATGCAAATAAAGCGAGCAGGCAATGAGAGAGAGAGAGAGAGAAAGAGAGTGAGTGCGAGAGCGGGCGAGAGTGAAAGAGCGCGCGTAACAACAAAATATTTAAGTTTGCCGATGTTGTTGCTTTTACTGCTCGTAACTGCGACTGCGACCCAGGTGATTGACCCAGGCCAGTGTCACTGTCACTGCGACTGGCAGCGCTGCTGCTTCTTCCTTTTCTGTTGCTACTACTCATTAATTTACTTTTACGTGTTTGTTCCGCAATTCTGTGTTGTATTAGTTGTTTATCAACACCCCCTGCCCCGTCGCCGTACACCAGCAGCCGGCAACAATTTGCGTAGACATGTATTTTTCATGTCCCTGTTCTACGTGTGCCTGTGTATGCTTCTGTGTATGCTTCTGTGTGTGTATGTGTGCGTGTGCGTGTCTGCCTGTCTGTTGAGCTTTTTTGGCGTCTTTGCTTTTGGGTGTACGAAAAGCAACAAAAGCAACATACGCAGTGTTACAATTCATGTTTCATGCTCTTATATTTCTCTTATTTGGTTTGAGCGCACACACACATACACACGCACGGAAATGCATGTGCCCAATAAAATTTCGAAGTCAAACTCGAAAGTCAAAAGTTTCGAATTAGAACTAGCGCCTGGTCTCTCGCCCCGCTCGCCATCTCTGCGCTGTATTTCGTTCTCTCTCTCCCTCTCTCTCTCTCGCTCACACCCACCACCCGCTCGCTCAGCTGTCAAGCTTTGGTGCTAAATTAACAAGCGAAGACGCAGCTTCAACCGGTTTCCCATTTTGACCAAAGCTTTTGTTTTTGTTTCTGTTGTTATTTGCTGAAACTGAAACTGAAACAACAACAGCAACAGGTGACAATACAGGCAAAAAAAAAAATAATAAAAAAAAAAACAAAAAATATATAAAAATGATTAGCTATTTATTTAAGTGTTGTTGCTTCCATTTTTGTTGCTGGTTTTAATTAGCAACAACAAAATCAAATGCGAGCTAAAATTTAAATAAAGTCATAAAAAAAATAGTAAGCAGTTAAAAAAACATGAAAAGTGTAATTTAAAATAAATTAAAAATCTATTTAAATGCTTTTCAACAACAAGCGCAAAGTGCGCGACTTCTTTTTATGTGTATTTTCTTTGTGTGTGTGCGTGTGTGTGTGTGTGTGTGTGTGTGAAAACTTTTGTTGTTTCTTTTGCTTGGGCATATAAATAAATACATAGTTCAACAAAATGAAGCCACATTTTTTTGTTACAAGTTTTTTTTTGTTCTGTTTTTGTTTACATAGAGTTCACAATGAGTTAATGTAACAGAGGCGACAACAATGTACACTTGCAGAAAACAGTGTGACAAAGCAACAACAACAACAAATACCTCCGCACCGCAACGGCTGTACAAATATTAATAAAAAGAACACAAAAAATATATAAAAAACAACAACAACAACAAATGCAAAACTCCCAACTTTACGAATATAGCGGCAGCTGCAGCAACAAAATACACATAAAAACACAAACAACAGCAACAAAGAACCAACCAAATAAATACCAAAAATAATTTAAACAAGCAACAAGTAAAAAAAAAAATGCAAATTATGAAGTTTTAAAAATACTGCATGCATTTTTCTATATGCAAATAATAAATATAAAAAGTATAAACAACAAATATCGTAAAGCTTACATATTTTTACATATGTACATACAAACATATATGTATATACGTAACAACAAGAACAAGCCAGCAAAACACATAAGTACAAACAAACAAAAACTAAAACTCAAACTGCAGGCGCAGCCCTCAACAGAGAAGAACAACCGTTAACAACCGTTAAAAGCTTGTAAGCAGCGACGCTGCCGCCCACACAAACAACAACAGCAACAAAGGTAAAAGGAAATAAACAAACAAATTTGCGGCGTGCGCAACAAACACGCAAACCAAAGCTGAGCAAACAACAAAAAAAAAAAAAAAGCAAAGAGCGAGTGCGTTGCGGCGAGCACCTAAGCCAAAGCTTAGCAGAAGCAGCAGCAGCAGCAGCAGCCGCAGCGCAGCAGCAGTAGCCGCAGCAGCAGTAGCAGAGCAAAAGCTCCAAAAAAGAAAGAGGAAAAAAAATAACGACAACAATAACAAGCAGGCGACGCGCACTTCATGCAGAAAAATAAGAAACAGCAAAAACCATGTAAGTGAAATTGATTTTATACTCTGTTCGCAAAGCGAAAGGGCGGTTTATGTTCATTTGGCTATACAAAAATAAGAGATTAAATAAATATTTCAAAGGTTCGGCTACTTAGCCTTAAGGCTAGGCATCTAATATACTTAAAACTTGTGACGTCACCATGTAAGAACCTCAGATTTGTGGATATGGCAAGGCTAGAAACGTGAACTTAACCTTAATTAAGGTTTACATTGTGACCTCACAGAGTTTACCTGTGTGTTTATAAAAGAATTTGGTTTATTATGTATCAAAGAATATGTTTTATAAAAATAACTTTAAATTTAAATTATAAAATTAATTATTTAATTAAAAACAGAGAACGCTCTGTGTACTTTAGACTCTCGTATAGATCCGTATATCCCCTATCAGACTAGACATATACCGAACTTCCTTATTTTTACACAGACACGTCATAAGCTACGCACTTCATGCTGTGCCTGTGCTTCTTCTTCCATTGAAATAGAAAATTCTAAACTATATTTGGGGTTTTTATATATTATGATCCTTATGCACTTTTCAATATTTAAATACCGCATCCAACTGTGTTTATATATCAGAAGCTAAGGCCCTGCCTTTAAATAGGAGTAGTGTGTTAGTAGAATTCAAAAAGTAAAATTATCCAAAATGTTGAATATTCTGGGTCTGCAAATACTCTACAAGCATCCATATCCCAAGCCTGGTGTCTCCGGTTCTAATAAACTCTAGATGACCCAGAACATATACCCATATAGTCGGAGATACTTCTTTAGATTTAGACTTCTTGTTTCTTCTAAATCTTGAATTGTTTCGGATTGTTGCATGCATTTGTCTAAAGCCAATTGACTTCATCTTCTTCCAAGTATTCAATTTATTCGGATTGTTACCTACATTTATCTAAAGCCAATTGATTTCCTAAATTTTCATTGAATTTGGAGTATGCCAACTATATGCTGTAGTTTTAAAGCCACAGTTTAGAAGCCATCGAAGTCTCGCCACAGTTGTAGAGTCACCTTTAAAAAAAAAAAAAGCTGCCAGATAGACTGCATAATCAAGACGAATCTCTTGTTATACTACTGTAAGCAGAGTATCGTGCAGTCGGTTGCATTTCATTTACAACTGATTTACTTGCCTGCTTATGTATGCATACTAAGTATATATGTACATATGTATGTATGTATGCATATATGTTTGAAGTATTGTTGTGGTTGCCCTTGTTGCTGGCTGCCATTGTTGCTGCGACTCCTAACCTACATAAATATTTAGTATTTTATGCTGAGTGCCTTTCACTCGCACCCGCTCGCTCTCCCCCTTGCGGGCTGTGCGTCAGTGTAATGCTGCTGTCAGTCTGGCAACGTCTGTTTCGGATTAAGTCTCTAGCAACAACAACAACAACAACAACAATAGCAACGGTACCTGGTGGGCGACCACTTGGGATCGTTATGGTGACAGTAACTTATCTCAGAGAGAGAGAGAGAGAGAGAGAGAGAGGGAGAGGGAGAGAGAGCGTACCGAAAAAAAAGTGGGAGTGCGGGATGCAGCAATAAATAGAAAATGAAAGGCAAAGCAAAGAGCAACAACGACGGCGTCTGAGGCTTATCAAAGCGATTTAATGTAAAATGTCTGTGCTCACGCGTATAAATATTATAATTGTCGCACACGCACACACACATGCACACACATGCACGCACACAAGTACGTATACAGAGCAATATGCATAATTACAATGCAAACGAACCGAAAGCTTGCCCTGCGATTGATGATGGACATAATACGCGTGCTTTACTTGGACGGAGCGGGGGTGAGGGCGGGCGCGTGTTCAGGGACAGGGGCAGCGACACCTCAAGGCGCTTGACCTGCATAAGCATGCAGTCAGACATTTGCACACACACACACACACACACACGCTCTCTCTCTCTCCCTCCCTCTCGCTCTCTTCTCTTGCGGCTTGCAATGCTTTTATCGGGCAATTAAAATCTATTCACAATAGACGCCTTTGCAGAGCATTTCTAGGCGAACATAATTAACTTAAATAAGTATAACAAACAAAACAAACATGTAAATTAGTTTATTGAGCTACAATTGCATCAAGATAAAGTGAGGCGCACTAAACTAAAGCATACTTTTGAGCCGACCGTTCTGTAAGCCCCTCTTTGCAGCCGTTGCGTGCTTATAACATTACAAGAAGTGCAGCGTTGCCAGACTTTCTCTGCTGCCCACATCCAGTTAAGTTGGCTGCGCAACAGCAGCTCATGATTTGCAGCTGAGTTTGGTGCCAATTTTGACTCGTACTTTCGAGCATCATTTAAATTACTATAAAATTTTTCACATTTCATATGTATAGCATTTAGCAGCTAATATTTATCGGCAACTTCTGTCAGTTGCGCCCATTAGCAGGGCACTTCAGCCTGTTATTGTAGCTCATCTAATCTTTTAGTTGTTTTGAAAAAAAAATATAATAATAAATAAAAAATTGGCCATTTATCTGCAGTTTTCACTGCGATTCGCACAGTTTGTTTTTGTCACTCTGCTTCTTTCATCACAGTGCGGCACAAGCGGCAACAACAACGACTCAACAAATACTTTAGAAACAGAATAATAGGTTTCATTTTCTAGTTTAACAAGAACTGCAGATTCCACAAAAGCATCATTATACGAGTCCTTTACTCATATTTTTCAAGGAATTGTAAAATACCAAGAATTCTATTATGTTTTTCGTAAGAAGAGCACGGACGTTTGCTTTTCATCAACATTTCTGGAAACTGTGCTCGATGAATAGAATTTTTTCACGTCCAGAATTGCGCAATTACTAAAAATGTCCTATGGCCAACTTTAAGATTGAGAAAAGACTCTTGTACTTAGTTTTCTGTACATATTTCTTAAAATGGACAGCTCTTCAGATATACATATATAGGTAACCATCTATCAAGGTTTTCTTATATGTAAACAAAATCAAATTTATTATTATATTTCTCTATCAAGAAGTTCCTTTTACGGACTTTACCCAATATCTGGTGGGTTCTGGAAAGTATCGCTGTAAATACTTTATTTTAACACAAATGACTCACAGACTGGGCATACCCCATGCATAATTGTGCTCAGCTCTTATTTATTTATAGGGTATCATAAAATGCACATGTATCGCATGTGCCACATGGAGTATTATTTGTTCAATTCAATGTGGTTTGTTTACTTTGCTGAAGCGCTCAGATCTTGACTCTGGAAATGTTAACAAACAAAAGTATCTACGAGCACGAGTGCACGTGTTGTTGTTCCTTTCGCAATAGGAAATGCTGTAAGCCATGCGAAAGGGTATTTGCTAGGCCTGCCACTTGATTGAACTGCTTGGGAATTATAAGACTAGCGAAAAATGTTGGCGTGCTGTGTGATAGAGAAAGAGATAGAGATAGAGATAGAGGTAGAGAAAGAGAAAGAGATAGAGATAGAGATAGAGAAAGAGATAGAGATAGAGATAGAGATAGAGATAGAGATAGAGATAGAGATAGAGATAGAGATAGAGATAGAGATAGAGATAGAGATAGAGATAGAGATAGAGATAGAGATAGAGATAGAGATAGAGATAGAGATAGAGATAGAGATAGAGATAGAGATAGAGATAGAGATAGAGATAGAGATAGAGATAGAGATAGAGATAGAGATAGAGATAGAGATAGAGATAGAGATAGAGATAGAGATAGAGATAGAGATAGAGATAGAGATAGAGATAGAGATAGAGATAGAGATAGAGATAGAGATAGAGATAGAGATATAGATAGAGATAGAGAAAGAGATAGAGAAAGGGAAAGAGATAGAGATAGAGAAAGAAAAAGAGATAGAGAAAGAAAAAGAGATAGAGATAGAGATAGAGATAGAGATAGAGATACAGATACAGATACAGATACAGATACAGATACAGATACAGATAGAGATAGAGATAGAGATAGAGATAGAGATAGAGATAGAGATAGAGATAGAGATAGAGATAGAGATAGAGATAGAGATAGAGATAGAGATAGAGATAGAGATAGAGATAGAGATAGAGATAGAGATAGAGATAGAGATAGAGATAGAGATAGAGATAGAGATAGAGATAGAGATAGAGATAGAGATAGAGATAGAGATAGAGATAGAGATAGAGATAGAGATAGAGATAGAGATAGAGATAGAGATAGAGATAGAGATAGAGATAGAGATAGAGATAGAGATAGAGATAGAGATAGAGATAGAGATAGAGATAGAGATAGAGATAGAGATAGAGATAGAGATAGAGATAGAGATAGAGATAGAGATAGAGATAGAGATAGAGATAGAGATAGAGATAGAGATAGAGATAGAGATAGAGATAGAGATAGAGATAGAGATAGAGATAGAGATAGAGATAGAGATATAGATAGAGATAGAGAAAGAGATAGAGAAAGGGAAAGAGATAGAGATAGAGAAAGAAAAAGAGATAGAGAAAGAAAAAGAGATAGAGATAGAGATAGAGATAGAGATAGAGATAGAGATACAGATACAGATACAGATACAGATACAGATACAGATACAGATAGAGATAGAGATAGAGATAGAGATAGAGATAGAGATAGAGATAGAGATAGAGATAGAGATAGAGATAGAGATAGAGATAGAGATAGAGATAGAGATAGAGATAGAGATAGAGATAGAGATAGAGATAGAGATAGAGATAGAGATAGAGATAGAGATAGAGATAGAGATAGAGATAGAGATAGAGATAGAGATAGAGATAGAGATAGAGATAGAGATAGAGATAGAGATAGAGATAGAGATAGAGATAGAGATAGAGATAGAGATAGAGATAGAGATAGAGATAGAGATAGAGATAGAGATAGAGATAGAGATATATGTCTAATATTGCAGAATTATTTCATTTAAAGCCTGAGCCTGGCATCTGAATACATTCGCCGTCTGCAAGGGTATTCAATCTTCGGCTAGGCATTGACGTTTTTTTTTTAACTTTCATTTAATCAATTCACAGACATTTATAAAATGAAATATATATATATATATATATATTTATACTTGATGAACCTGTATTGATTTTAATTGTCATTAAGCAAAAACAAAACTTGTTGTTTTATATATTTTTCCATTCGGGGTGATTGAACCTGTGTCCCCCTTCGAAAAGAAGAACCTGCATATATATATATATATATATATAGAGCTTGATACACGATCCGTTTAGTAATCTGTCAATAAAAACTTTTTGACTGGGAATTTCCGCAGAGCCTCGCCCCAAATTGTCATTTCCATGTGAAAAACAAAAATAGGAAAGAAAAATCAACTAACATTGACAAGAAAAATGGCAGAGGAAATGTCGAGTGAAAAGTAAATATATAAATATAGTTCGAAGATATATCATCTGGATATAAATGTGTGTGTGTGTGTGTGTGTGTGTTTTTGGTATGCATGTGATATTATTTATAGGCAGCACTTGCTAATATACCATAAATTTATATATGCACACATATATATATGTAATTATATATACACATACATATATATATACATATATATATATATATATATATATATCGGTATACAGAGATATTATGGAACTATGTGTATGACACATAAAGCGTTGCGTTTATCGCTTTTTAAATTTTATGAGCCCAATCATAAAATCTGCAAATAATCTGCAGTCGTGCACTGCTCGACTAGCAGCTACCCTGTAAAGTGTTTTAGTGGAAGAAACGTAAAAGCCCTGAACCCTGCGACAAGCAAATATTACCAACATTCTTCGGTGCTTATTGTCCGATCTTGATGAAATTCTTAGCGCGGGGAGGGGAGAAGGTAAACTATTCATAACTTCCGAGTTGTGCTGGGCAAAACAAGACTCAAAATCGATCTAAATCAGTTTAAAACAAATGAGAAGTTGATATTGAATAAACAAACTAAGCCCATATACTCCAAAAACCTCTTAAGATGAAAGACAAGACAAGACTAGAGAAATCTGCCACAGAATCAAGGGATATATAAACGCCAGAAGGAAACTCAAGTTCATTTTCCGTTTGCACACATTTTGCAGCGTATCGCGTAGTCGTAAAAAGGCGACTGTCAAAAATTTACTTGTTTTAAATCTATTCTGAATTCGTAACCTTGCACGAAAATAGATTTACAAAGAAAACCGACAAACAAAAATAAGAAAGAAAAAACATTTCGCTTGACTATAGAAAATTATACAAAATAACAATTTATTTACTAGTTGACACGAAGCAGCGACAACAACAGCAACAACAGCAACAACAGCAACAACAATAACAAATTAAACAATCAAATAAATTATAAAACAACAATGTCAAATTTTATTCGATAAGCAAAACTATTTAAAAGTGGTTTTGCTGCGATACCCTGTAAACTGTTAAGGTATATCAACTGTCATTCCATATATTTTTCCAATCTCTCTTAACTCTAGTTATGCCGCATATCTTTTGGAAATGCAAAATGATCAAGAGCTATTTACAAATATGAAGCTATGTAGATTATATGGAGAAGCTATTCACGGAGATTGACCAGTTCAGACAGATGTTCAACAAACTAGAAATAAATTTACATTGCATAAACTTTATTTAATTATTATCTTGTTTTTAAAAGAGATACTTAAAATACACAAAATCGGACTGCTTTAAGGCGCAGCCAACTTAATACACACAAAATCTGATTGTGCTGAGCCGCAGCCTACTTAATAACCTACTGGCTAAAGTCTGGCAACGCCACGTTGCTGAAGCAAGCAAATAAACAAGTTAACGTGCGAACTTTTAGCTAATTTATCTTGTCTTATTAAAAATATTTCTAGGTAATTTATTGCTGCCATCTTGTTAGTCACATTGTAAGTCTTGGATATGCGTTTCTTTAAGATATTCAAAATAATTGTTGTTTATGCCTCGAGTGCTGCCACCTTGTTTTAATTATTGTTCAAGTGTGAAATTTGAGTGCTGCCCATTTGTTAGTATCTTTTAATTGTGGCCACACTCTCCAAGGCAAAGTTTTTGGAAAAGAGAGTCAGCATTATTTAAGATTTAATATACCCACTTTTTTGGACACTCTTTGGCTACAGGGTAGCAATAATTAAATGGTTGTCGAACGTGAACAACAAATTCAAATCTTATCAACTTGTTATTATTGTTGTTGACCAATCCCCATATAAACACACACCACCCCACCTCTGACCCGCTCTCACACATTTGATCGGCTAGCAGAATTAACAATAACATTAACTGATCTTCAACTTGATGTACGCTTCTCTTGCCCGCAGCGCCCCGGTCAACAAAATGAGCACCCTCGATGCCTATCTGAAGCGGACGACGAAAGCGGCGACCAGGACGAGCTCCAGTCCATCCAGCGATGCGGCGCAGACGGACGTTGAAGATCTCAATACAGACATTCCCTACTTTGACGATCCGCAGCAGCCGGAGACGGATCCGCAGCGCCAGCAGCAGCATTTCGAGTCCGCCTGGTCGCCGGCCGAGGAGGCGGGCACACCGGAACCGCAACCGGAGGAGCTGCAGCTGGACGATAGCTATGCGGATTCCGATTATGGTGCCAGCGGCAGTGCCGCGAATAGCTATTACCAATCTCCGACGCCATCCAATAGCGATATAATGCTACGCCCGCCATCCAACTCCAGTTTCCAATATAGCTACTCATCGCCCGGACCAGGACCGGCTCCCGGCAATGGTAGCAATGGTACCACCAGCAGCGGCGGCGGCAGCGGCGGCGGTGGCGGCAGCGGCGGCGGCGGCGGCGGCGGTGGCAGTGGCAGTGGCAGTGGCAGCGGGCGACTGCATGCCGCCTATGCACATTCCCAGACGCTGGCGCTGCCGCCGCCGTCCTCGACCAATTTGTATCCGAACATGTGGTATCCAAATGCGCCGTATGGCAGCACCGTTCCCGGTCATGTCTACGGTCGCTATGCGGGCTACGGTGTGCCGACGAGCGCCGCCACATATGTGGCAGCGACAGCGGCAGCGGCAGCTCATGGAATGCTGCCACATGGCCAGCATCAGCATGCGCCGCTGCATCATCCGCATCCACATCCACATCCGCACCACCAGCATACGCATCATCCGCATCCGCACGATTCGATGATGGAAATGTTTCAGCTCTCAAATAGGTAAGTGCACAAAAACCCATAACTCAACGTGCTTGGACTGGGCTGTCTGCCAGAGCCAGGGCCGATTTCGATATTTATCGATAGGCAAGCGTACGAGTAGAGTTATCAAAAGGGGATATTATGTAGGGGAGGTTAATTTTTTTATACCCGAAACTACTTATAAAATGTGGCTCTGTGTCTCTGGCTCTTTCGGAAATCTGCTTCAAAACTGGCAAATCGATATTTATCGATTTGGTTTAGAAATATCTTAAAATACAATTCGAGCTGCGTTTGCCTTGCAGAATAACAACTTTAGGCATTTAAGATCCACAAAAGCTACGTTGATAAAGCGTATAGACGTGAGACCTGAAATCCAAATGTATCGATTATCAATCGATATGGAGCTATAATAGTAATCGATTAGCTATTAATCGATTTACTGTTTATCGCAAAATCAAATCAACTTGTTCTGTGCATGCTGAGCATTTGGGCTCTTTAGCTATGCCAGTGGCTGTGCCTCAACATTTTCGACAACAAATCGATATTTATCGATTTGGCTTTAAAATATCTAAAATACAAATCGAGTTGCGTTTGCCGTGCAGAATAACAAATTTTGGCATTTTTAAATATTCAAGAGCTATGTAAATAAACTAATAAACGCGGGAGCTGAAATCGAAATTGATCGATTATTAATCGATATGCTTATTAATCAATAGGGATCTATAATAGTATTCGATTAGCTATTAATCGATTTACTGTTTATCGCAAAATCAAATCAACTTGTTCTGTGCATTAGCTATGCCAGCGGCTGTGCTGTAAACATTTTCGATAACAAATCGATATTTATCGTTTTCGTTGCGTTTCGTTTTCAAGCAACTGCACAACAAATTTAGAGTTTAAAGCCTTAAAATCGCCCTGGCAGACATGAGGACGTTGGTCATAACAAAAACTCAGCTTGTCCGCCCGATTATTATAAATACTATATATATGTACATATATCTGGCTGTACATATGTATAATGTGCATATTTGATGGCCTTCGACATCTATTTTTCTGGCTCCCACGTACATTTTCGCAACAACATAGCACACTTTTCCGCCAAGTCAAACCGCAGCCGTAAACAACACTCCAATTGCAACCCCCTGCCCCCTGCCCCCTGGCCCCTGCCCCACCCCACCCGCTGTTCAGCTTTATGACCCGTGCAGCCAATTTGGTCACATTTGTTGAGCAGGCGACCCGCTGTGCGTCGACTGGCTCTGATTGGCCCAGTTGATGCGGCCAAGACCCCCGTTGCAGCCAGAGCACAACATGCCCCATGCCACATGCCACATGCCACTTGCCACATAACGTAATTGAACGGCGCAGCCCTGTGGCGTGCGACGCGCTTATTTTGTGTATTTTTATCAATGTTTTTTTCGACTTTGCCATATTTATTTTCGTACCTCATTGACGACACAACAATTTGCCCAGTTGGCCATTGGGAAAACAAGTCGTATTCCGCCCGTTCTCAACCCTGTCCCAATCCCAACGTGGGGCTGAAACTAACAAGTCCTGCTAATAAACTCTCTTACTGCACCCATGCGCTGCATTTGTTGTTGTGCTTGTTGTTGTGCTTGTTGTTGTTGTATTCTTGTTATCGTCTAGTGAAATTTATGGCACGCGTGCACTGGGTCACTCCCACAAGCACAGCACAGCACAGCACCGCACCGCACCGCCGCCGCACCGCCGCCGCAGACCACAGGCCACCAATTCAATAGGTCAACAACAAGCACAGCAACAACAACAAACAAGTCAGCACCCTGCCAATTTGATTGGCAGCACCGTAAACAGAGAAACGATACGCAATACTGAATACCAAATGGATTTCCTTATTTACATATTAACAAAAAAATATCGCGCAACACCCCAAACCCAAGCCCCAAGCCCGGAGCGGGCATATTAACTGGCAGCACATCTATTAATATTAACAGTTATACTCGTAATTAGCTTTAACGTCTAGCTAAATAATTATATGCCAATCATTATTTCTCATAGAGCCGACGTATACTTGATGTAATTACGATTTGTTTTTTTTTATAATATTACGTATACGCAATCATCTTATAAACAAGCATTGTAATTTCTGTGCATGTTTTCGGACTGTTGGCGGCATTTTGCACTTGAATCGCCATCCTTTCTCTAAAGATCGCCTATGGATCCACGCACGAGCGTGGAAAATCGGCGGTTAACGTTTTTTCTTTTTTTGTTTCGCTGCACACAAACTATGAAAAGTCATTCTTAGGGATTTGCAGAGACCGAAAGTGTATGTCTCTTCGAATCGCTTGCCAGTTTGGTGGGGAATTTAAATTCAAAGAAAACACAAATTCACTTGGCCTCTAGGGCTAGCAAAATGTGATTCTAATGTCTGGAAAATTCCGATTCCCAGCAATTATAATACTGGACTTGCCGATCAACATTGCAATTTCACAAATTTCTGTAAATAATTCCACGATTTACGCAACTTGCGCCATTTACCCGATGACTGCTTAGATATAATAACGATTTCTTGCAACATTACGTATACGTACCGTGCCCACATTAACAATACGTAGGAGCAAAACAAGCCTATAAATAGAGATAAGAGTACATTCACATGATAGATCCAATACTCAATACTCAATACTCAATACTCAATACTCAATACTCAATACTCAGTACTCAATACTCAATACTCAATACTCAATACTCAATACTCAATACTCAATACTCAATACTCAATACTCAATACTCAATACTCGATACTCGTTGGCGATTGTAAATAATTATTAAAAGGGATTCATTAGTTTTGTTAAAAATATTACTGCAATAACTTGAACTCAACTTTGTTACGCATTTGAAATATATTTTTTTGCCATAAAGCTATACCCTGTAATTCAATTAATAACTAATGATGGGCGTGGTAATCAATTAGGGGGCAGCTTTACGTCATATAGTCATCTGATCTGTGAGCACTTCCGGTCGATTGCAAATTATTACATTTTAATTAAACATTGTTTACAATTTCTCAAGCGTTCGGTTAAATGTATTTTTCGAATACCTAGACCAACATTGATGACTTTAATAACTCTAAAAAAAAACGCTCTGAAAACATGATAATCATAATGCATCTGCATAACCTCAAAAGTACATAACCTCGAAAGTACACAATCTTTAAAGTAAATAACCTCATCAGTACATAACCTCAAAAGTAAATAACCTTAAAAGTACATAACCTCGAAAGTACACAACCTCAAAAGTACATAATCTCAAAAATCATAAGCTAACTTCCTCAGAAACCGACGGACATATACATATTCATACATATACTGCTTATTGATATTGGATTATAGGGCATTTAACAGTCGCGCTTTGTACATATATCATTTAGCTAAACAAATCCGTTCGATTGCATTTTAGTCGATTTATATTTGTTTCTGCACGGCATCAAGCTCACGGCTGCGATAGTAAGAAAGAGCGAGTGGGAAAGAGGAAGTGCAAGCGAGAGCAATAGATCGACCAGAGTGTATGCAAGTACAGTAATCGAGACAACGTCGGCGCCGCCTATAACGCTGCGGCGTTACAATGTTGCGCATTCAAAACAAATAAACAATACCGAGGAGAACAATCGGGCGAAGCAGCAAAGGAAAAGCAGAGAGCGATTGCGTTAGCGAGCGTGAGAGCCACAGGCCGAGCGAGAGGGACAGCGTGAGCGTGAGCAACAGGCAGAGTTAAAGAGCAAGGGGCAACAGCCCACACACGCACACACACAGCAACTACTGTATGTGTGTGCATGTATTGCATTGATAGAGACCGCACTCACAATCAGCTACAAAGTTGGCGCCGCGAGTGGCGTCAAGACCTTGCACTTCCTCGTCTGACCACTTGGGCTGGCCCATTCAAAACAAAGTGGAACGTTTCAAGGGCAGCAAAACCCATAACACAATAGCTAAAGAACTTCACACACACACACACACACACACGCACGCCCTACAAACCCCCCTTCGCCTACTCAGTTTGAGCAAAAGTCTGCCCACTGGCAAATCGATGCATTTAGATATTCATATTGAAGCTCAATTGCTGCCGCCCTTATGCACACGTACACACACACACCCTGTGCACAGGGCGTATACTTTGGAATGGCTTGGTTAGGGTATTATTTCGAGTATTGCTGTTAATTGACATTTGCATTTAAATTTGCAACACAATTGCATTTGGCAGTCATTTATCCGTGTGTTTGTGTTTGATATGCATATGTGCATATTTAGTAAACAATAGAGGATACCCTGCACATAGCCGCTAAAAGTTTAATCAGTTATCATATATTATTTAATTAGTATTTAATGTAAAATCGTCATAACAAGAAGGCGCACTATTAACCAACACTGGCAGCTTAAGCTAGTTATCTGTATGTTATACCTCTACCCAACACTGGCAGCTTAAGCTAGCTAGAGCCGCAGCTAAAGGCACGGAGTTGCTTCGAACCGTGAACCGAACCACTGACAGTTTTTTTTTTGTTTCTGCAGCTCTGGAACCTTTTCCAGCTCTAGGTCGTGCAATCGTGTCACGACGCGCGCTCCACTCTAGTTGCTTATAAATCACACTCTGAATATTCAAACAAACGTTCAACTCGAATTGCTTGGCTTCAAGTAAACTTAAAGTGCAATTTTATAAATATGCCCGGCTGCATTTGTTGGGCTACAGGGTAATGGAAAACATTTCGCTGCAGCTGCTGTAAGTGCCTGTGTGTGTGTGTGTGTATGTGTGTGTATGTAAGTAAATTCGTTACATAGATAAAACGTTTTTGCGCCTTTTCAATTTTGCATGTGCCTGATATTGTTGGTTGCGTTGTTTTGCTGCCGCTTCTCCTTTTATTTCGCACTTGGTGCTTTGCGTGTCTATTACGAACTTACATTATTTATTTCATTCTTTTTCTTGCAATAGCGTTTTAAATTTATGTACATCAGTGGCCGGGGATGCAACCGGGCAATAGCAACAATACCAAAACGGCAGCCATTGCTAATCAAACGCAAAATTCTCATATTTCCGTATAAATTACTCATACGCCCCCTAGGAACCGATCGTGCAACTAAAAAGACGGTTCAAGAGCGCAAGAGAGCAAGAGAGCGAGTGAATGAGAGTGGGAGAGAGCAAGCTTAATGGGCGGCTTAGCAAAACAAAATGCGCTTGCATGGCGTGGGCGACGTTGACGTCTGCTGAGCCAAGAGAAGTTGACGCCATGTTCGGCTGTGCACTTGGATCGCCGACGCCGACGCTGACGCTGACGTCGACGTCGAAGTCAGTTGCATTGTTGCGGCTCATTTGGAGTGATAATTTTTAACAGCTATTGAGCCGTTAGACATTCTCACATACCGCTGTAATTTTAAGCTTCCAAGCATAGTCATGTCTGCTTATGTGTGTGTGTGTGTGTGTATTTGTGGGCTTGCCTAGACTGCCGTATCATGCGCCATATATGTTCATATTTATATACATATATGCATAAGTAAACAACAATATTAGCACCGTTCGACTGTGCGCAGCACCCTTTTCCACCCCCGCCCTCCCCCAGATTCTTTATCTTGTATAATTCGAGTGTATTCATTATTGTGCGAAGCTAACTAATCCCTGCACTTCCTGCTGTCTTTTGCAGCGGACGCGAGGCGCGCAACCGGGCGGAAAAGAATCGACGGGACAAGCTGAATGGCTCCATCCAGGAGCTGTCCACCATGGTGCCACATGTGGCGGAGTCGCCGCGACGCGTTGACAAGACGGCGGTGCTGCGCTTTGCCGCGCACGGACTGCGGCTCAAGTACGGTAAGCATTTATATGCACATATACATACATATGTGTGTGTGAGTCAATTTGCAATCAATAGCTTTTAATTAAAATGATTGTACTGCACAATCTGGCAACCTTTAACGCTTAACAGTCTGCCAATTCGAATTCGATAAAGTGCTGCCAGACTGCTGCAAAAGTTGAGTAGCTTGTGCAAAATAAAGAATAATTAGTCCTTCGAGAGTTAATTTCAATCAATAAGCATTTTAGTGCTCAGTAAAAAAATAACGGTTTATTAAATGAAATGAATGAAAATATAAAACGTTTTATTTAACTTGAAGATCCGCACTATTAATAAGACTTATTGGCATACATCTTTATTCAATTAGTGTTTGGCAAGACGTTGCATCAACAGCGACCCCAAGTGACGGACACGCTGATGGGAATGCTGGATAGCTTCTTTCTCACGCTCACCTGTCACGGCCAAATACTGTTAATATCGTCCAGCATCGAACAGCACCTGGGCCACTGTCAGACAGACCTGTACGGCCAAAGCATACTGCAGATCACACATCCGGAGGACCACGAAATGCTCAAGCAACAGCTCATACCCACCGAGCTCGAGAATCTCTTCGATGCGCATGCGGAACCAACGGATGCCGATGGTGAGCCGCGCCAGCGCAGCAAATCCGAGGAGGATTACATTGATCGCAAGTTGCGCGATGATCGACGCAGCTTTCGTGTGCGGTAAGTACCAAAGAGAACGACTATAAAAAAAGTAAAGCAAACAACTCAGACTAAAAGAACCCAGAGATAAAAGCTAAAATCCTGATGGGCAGCACAGCTATTGCGAGCGTCAAATATCGATAAAAACAGACATTTGTTATATGCCAGATCTAGCTAGACAAATACCTACCAGCATCTTCATTCCATTTATCGAAACCTTTAAACAGACAGACAATCATATCTCATCAAAACTTCATAAAAAGCCTTTATCAAGGCCTTACAAAAAATTCAGTTGGCAACACTGGCAGTAACACAGTTATAAAAAATGATTGAATCAAAGAAAACAAATTTTCGAATTGGCTTCACTGTAAGTGCTGAATAAACGATTGATAAATACAGCCACAAGTGCTGCCAATTTGTTCGGAAATGCAAAAACAACAGCCAGTCAGCTAGTCAACAAAAGTCAGATCTAGCTACTGATTGGCAGCACTGCAGCTGATGCCCAAATTGTTTTCAAAACGGTCACTAAAAGTGCTGCCTATTTGCGCTAAGCGAGCTGCTGCAAAGCAAAGCAAAACCTACCCCGATTGGCCACACTGGCCTATCGATATATGCACACGCAACGATATTTCGATGTGCAGTAGAAATTTTATCGATAACTCGATGCATGTTATCAAAGTCCATCTCAATTTCGAAACACTTTCTTCTGTGCTGTGCAGCTTGGCGCGCGCTGGCCCGCGCTCAGAGCCCACCGCCTACGAGGTGGTCAAAATCGATGGCTGCTTCCGGCGCAGCGACGAGGCGCCGCGCGGCGTACGCTCGAACACGTTCAGCTCCAGCCTGCAGCTGATACGACGCACCCGCGGCCGTGACGATGCCATACCCTTGCACACGATAAGCGGCAACGATATTGTGAGTGCATTCAGACGATATACATATGTGTATCTATATACATATATCCGAAATAATATAATATAATATATTATATATTCCGCTTGCAGGTGCTGACCGCGTGTGCGCGCATTATAAGGCCACCGAAGATCGTGAATCGTCTGTTCGATGCGAACACGCTGGAGTATCGCACCAGGCATCTGATCGATGGACGGATCATCGATTGCGATCAGCGGATCGGCATTGTTGCCGGCTACATGACGGACGAGGTGCGGAATCTGAATCCGTTTACCTTTATGCACAACGATGATGTCCGCTGGGTGATTGTCGCCCTGCGTCAAAGTGAGTCCGCCCCCCGCAACGATGCCAACTGTTTTGCCATCTGTTAAATACTCTGTTTTGTTTCCAGTGTACGACTGCAATAGCTCGTATGGCGAGTCTACGTATCGCCTGTTCACGCGCAATGGCAACATCATCTATTTGCAATCGAAGGGGTATCTGGAGATTGACAAGGAGACGAACAAGGTGCACTCGTTTGTGTGCGTCAACACGCTGCTGGGCGATGAGGAGGGCAGGCGTCGCGTCCAAGAGATGAAGAAGAAATTCTCGGTGATCATCAATACACAAATACCGCAGTCAACAATTGATGTGCCCGCATCGGAGCATCCCGCACAGTTGGAAAAGGCTGTGCTCTGTCTCATACAGAATCTGCAGAGCGGCGGCTCGGATCACGACAACGATCGGCTGGATGCCGACGATGATGATGACGATAATGACACCGATGACGATATCGAGGATGGCCTGTCCAGCATAACCAACTTCAGTCATGCAAGCCAACCGCACGATTCACAGCAGCAGCATCATCAACATCATCATCGCCATGGCCATGGTCATCATTCGCATCACAATTTTCTCGACAGCACGATGTCACAGGCGCGGCTGGGCGCCGGCAATGGCATGGGCAGCTCCAAGACCCCGCCGCTGGCCCTGGTGCCGCCGGAGACGGCATCGGTGAAGTCCTCAATATCGAAGAGCGTCAGCGTCGTGAATGTGACAGCCGCCAAACATTTGCGCGGCAATCTCGCAACATCAGCTGCCCAGTCGCCCAGCTCCAAGTCCACAAGCTGCAGCTGCCGCGGCGTCAGCGACGCCAACTGCGACTATTGCCAGGGCCCGCTTACCCCCGAAACGGTTATGGGCAGCACATCCGTCTCCTTAAAACGCAGCAGCGGCGCCGCCAGCACCCAAGATGGCCAGGACAATGTGTTGCTGGCCAAGCGACTCTTCATGCCGAGCACAGGTGAGCGCAGGATTGCATGTTGCACAGTTCGCATTATCGAAAGGGATTCATCCATAAACTATTCATTCCCCCTTTTAATCGGGCACATCTCCAGCAGATTAAATATCTTCAGCCAGACTTCAGTCCCTGCACCAGATATTGTCAGACATTGCACGGAATGGACGGATCAGGACATGAGTCGAGCTATATATGCTCCACACCATATGCAGAACACGAGCTTATCTTTTCTTTTTTTTTCTCGATATTTCCTCTCATTTTCCTTGCATCGATAAAAATCGATTTTGAGAAATGGTTTTTTAAAGCATAACTCAAAGATTATAAGAGCTAGATAAGTTTTGCATGTAGGATCTCGTATGGTTCCTCCTCTCATTCAGTATACGGGATATATATTGGGATTGTGCCGGCTATTTGGGCAAATCTTTTGTTTAAGATTAAGATAAAATATTGAAATACCAGAGTTTCGAGTCGATAAATTGAATAATTGATTGAATGTTTTGCTTTTAGCAGTAATTACACACGTACTGGGCAGTTCGCTGGAGCAGATGGGGCGGACCCTGGATCAGCAGCTGAGTGCGGCTGTCCAGCTGCGGGAGCAGAACAGTCGTTACGAGGTGCCGCATGCCAACGAGCGCATAGATGAGATCTTGGTGAGTCCGTTCAAATCAATGTCAAGCCAAACAAGCCGATAAATGCAAAATTCCATTGGAACAGGAGGAGCATCAGAAGCAGAGCAAACTCTTTGTGGACATCAAAAGCGAATACGAGGAGCTACAGAACAAGGCGGCGAACGCAACGAAAACGGATGCCGAGTCGCAAAGCAGCAACAACAGCAACAGCGGCATACCCTAAACGGGGCCCATACACACCTATCCATCTATATATATATATATATATATATATATATAAACAAATATATATTATTGAGGGTTTCAGCTGATGTGATAAATGTGGCAGCCAACGGCAAAGGCGAGTTGAGGCTCACAAATGAAATCTTTGTCAGTCAACTTTGAGCTACTTTATTTAAAATGTTCAACCAACTAGAATAATGTACTTTAAAGTGCTAACAACTATTTACAAACAGATTGTGCATGGGCATCATCAATGTAATACTATATATATTTATATATGTATGTAGATATGCGTATATATGTATGTATATATGTTAGGAGCAGATAGGTTGAACCGAACTAATGAGTGAGCATGCAACAAAAACCTACTTTAGTTAGTTGGGGCTCCTGGACTCGCCCAGCGGCTGTTTCTTTTCATTTTCTTCCTTTTTTAATGATAACTAAACATTTTTATATAAATATATATACATATATATATATATAATGTTTTTAAATGTAATTTGTATGTAGGAACACACACACACACTCACTCACACACACACACACACACACACACACACACACACACACACACACACACACTTACAAGCATAAGCAACTAGTTAATTAATTTAAATTAAAATTTATAGTCAAACACTCACATACAGAGAATACAATTATTAGCTACCGTATATACCCTACATATATTGGGTATATTTATTTAAATAGCATATATATACATATATATATATATATATACATTATGTGCCGCTGACCATGGCTCTGAGGCATTGGCATTGGCAAACTACAAACTAACCGTGATAAAAGACTGTTACCAATTAATTTTTAGCCTAAGCATACAATAACTATATATATATATATCTATATATATGTATACATATATGATATATACACACTTATAAAACGGTCTAATACAAACGGCACACTTAAATGAATATTTACGATTTACCAACATTTTAAACATATACGATAATATACATACATATATATATATATATAAATCTAAAATGTTTTAAATGTTTTATGCTCTACAAGAGAGAGAGAGAGAGGGAGAGAGAGAGAGAGAGAGAGGGGGCAAGAGTTATGCATTGCATGCAGCTCGCCCCGCCCCTCGCCCAACCCCCTCTAAATAAACAATTTGTTAGGTGAATAAATGAATGTTAGTGTTACACTGTGAACAATTTTTGGAGCGCAATTTGAATTCAATAACGGTTTTCATAACCTCAACTACAAATATGAATTGTTGTTAAGCTCAGGGCAACAATTTCACAAGCGCCAAGTACAATTTACAACAATATAACTAATTAAATTCGATGTAAACACAAATAATATAAGAGAATGTAAACACAATTGTTAAATGTTTGTTACGCATTTGTTCTATATCATTTTGTTGCCTTTCGTTTCGTTTTTTTCCAATTTAAATTTTTTTTTTTTTTGTAATTCAATTTAACTATTAGACTAATTAAATAGTGAAATAAACTTGTGTACCTATACTTAAATTATATATACATACATACAAAATACGTGCTTGTGCGCATAATAATTTATAACTAAGTAGATCCATTTAAATGTTACGGACACGTGTGAACACTTTTAAGGCAAAGCAAGTTAACTATCTACAGAATGGTAAATACTTGTATTTGTTAATTGCCACAAAAAGAAATTAATAAATAATTGACACAAAATAATGTGCATGTGCTTTCACAAATTATACAACAACAAAGTACCAATATTTGTTTGGGGAAAAACAATTAGTTTTTTTTTTTGTTTTTAACAAACTGTGCCCGGGAACAGTTTTGATTATACGCAAAAGATGTGGCAACTCCCACGTATTGCATGCAATCAATAAACCGTTGCACTGCTGCACTTATAAATCGATGAGTTATCGATGACCGATAATGTTATTCAATTTTGAAGCTAAACCAAACATATGTATTTATTGTTTACGCCACGAAACAACTAAATCACATTCAATTCGCGTACGAACGCTTCTTTAAGCCCAAATTAACGCCCGTGGCGGAGCGCAGCACAATTTTAATTGAAGGCTTCACATCGGCGCCAAGTGGCAGCAGCTCGAAATGCCGCAACATTTTGATGACAATCGTCTTCAGCTCCAGCAGCGCAAAACGCTGGCCAATGCAATTGCGCGGACCAGCGCTGAATGGTATATAGCTGGAGCAGGCTCTGGCGGCGCCAGCATCTGGCGCTTTATGGCTGTCCAAATGCCGCTCCGGCCAGAAGCGCAGCGGGTCCTCGTACAGCTGCTCGTCGTGCAGCAGCTGCCAGAGCAGCACAATCACATTGGTGCCCGCGGGCACATGCGCCTCACCTGCCTCACCTGCTGTGTGTCCCAATTATACTCAGCCAGTCGAAACATATTGTAATGTATTATTGCACACTTACCCAACACCAAATCGCTTTCCAGGCAACGGCCCACCGCTGGTATGGGCGGATAGAGGCGCAGCGACTCCTTGATCACGCAGTGCAAATAGGGCAGATCCGCAAAGTCGCCATAGATAACCGGACGATCCACAGCCGGGCCATAGTGGGCATACAGCTCCTCAAACAAACGTCGCTGCACTGCCGCATGGCGCGACAGCAGAAACAGGCAGAAGGAGGCGGCTGATGTGGTCGTATCGTGGCCCGCAAAGATGAACGTGCTCACCTCATCGCGTATCTGTGCGTCTGTCAGCGGTGCGCCCTCCAGGCGTGCCTGCAGCAATGTATCCAATAAGGCGGACCGTTTGCCCAGCTGCTGCTCATGCAGCAACAGCTGACGACGCCGCTTGATGATGTCGTCGGTGAAGCTGTGCAGACACTGGACGCCGTCCCACTGCTTGCGGTAGCCGCTGGGCCAGAGCAAGCGGAACAGCAGCGGTGGCAACAAATGCGGTCGCATAAAACGTGTCGCCAGTATATTGGTCACGCTGCAAGTATGCAAGAAGAACAAATGTTAGGCAATTGATTAGTTAAACAGCAACTAATTTATACTCCTTAACAGCCTGCACCACCGGCGCATCCACATTCCGCTGCGCATCGACACTGACGCCCATCGCCGCCTCGCTGATGATGTCCAGTGCAGCCAGGCACATATACGGATATATGTTGAACGCCTGCTGATCGGTGTCTGCGGCCAGGGGCTTCAGTTTGCCCACCAGCACATTGCACTGCCTGTCAAACACCTCGATGTACTGCTCCAAGATGCTAAAGTGAAATGTGGGCGTTATAATCTTGCGCATGGCATGCCAACGATCGCCACGACTGAGCAGCAAGCCGTTGCCCAGCCAGCCGCCCAGGGCGCCATAAACGACGCTCTTTCGCAGCTGCTGTTTGCTCAAGAGCAGCGCATCCACATGCCTCGGCTCGGCGGTGACCAGCACCATGCGGCCGCATGTTGTGGCCACAAAACTGCGCCCGTAACGCTTCACATAAGCCGCAAACTTTTCGTGTAAATCTGCAATTTGACAACTACATATATGTTAGCCCAGCCCAGCCCAGCCCAGGGTATTGGGTCAGTCAGTTACTCACTATCCGGCTGAAAGTCACGCATCTGCCAGAGCGTGCCAATGAGCGGCACTTGGGACACATTGGGCGCCACGCCCTCCAGTTGCTGGCGGTGCCTGCGCTCCTTCCATAACAGTTGCAACAGGAAGCGCAACAAAAAAACTACCAAAGCAGTCACTAACAATACGAGCAACATCTTTGCATACTCTGCAAAGAAAGACTTGCATTCATTTACCAAATACAAATATAAAATTTGTATCATTTTCTGACTACTTGGTTTATTCAAAAGTGCTTTATCGTAGAATCATAGATATTCGCATAATTGTAATGTTTGAAGTTTTTTTGTTGCCAAACATATTCAATATTGTGCTATTTTCCAACACTAAGTCGAAACTTAAGTTGTTAATAATTGAATATAAATTGTTTTATTTGACCTTAAGATATTTCTGATTTCTCAGATAGCTATGCACTCATATAATATGTTTTATGGCCGTTCTGCATTCGCAAATTGTACAAATATTTTATTGAATTATTCAAATGCAATTAAAAGTGCTTCAATAGAACAGAGGAGAGCTTATTCAAAAAGCGCGCACTTACCATATTAACGAATCCGTGTAAAATGAAAATACAAAAATTATATACATGTTTGGCAAATAGATATGCAGTAAGTTGTACTCAATGTAACTATGACAATCCACGAAATATGTATATGTACAAACTGTTTTATAACACCGACGACAAAGGTTCTGTAATAGTCGACTCTCTAATGCCCTGTAATATATTGTGTAAACATACAAATAATTGCAATGCTTGGATTAAGTGTCAACAGCCGCATCGCATTTGTCCGATAGATTATTAAAAGCTTACTTCATAATTACGATAACCAAGTTGAGACGTTGAGAACTGGGTTAAAATGCGTAGGGCCGCATAAAGGTTAAGCACTGCAGCGATATATTGGCACGAGGCTGCATAAAGGTTAAGCACTGCAGATATATATTGGCGCGATATTAAAATCGATAGGCAATATGTGTATTTAAAAAATATATATATATACGGTCACACTGCCAAGCTGACATCTGATTTCATTTTCCCCCAATTAGATAAAAGCCGAAAGAACAAACATTTAATATTAAAATAACAGAAAATCATTACACCCCGTTTAATGAAAGCAGCCAGGGTATATTTACATAGAGAACAAAACAGACGGAGATAGCAAGAATGAGAGACAGCAACAATAACCGATGTTTGCCTCGCCAGCTGATGCGGAAAAAAACACAAATAGGCGCGTTTCGATATATTTAGTTTTTTGAATTTTTTTACAATTGCTTTAATTAATGGTGCTTAACTATTTATCCAGGCGTGGACGCAGGCCCAGGTGCACGCCATTTACCGATCGCAAGACGAGGCTAAGCATGGGCCGCGGTTGTGGGCCCAACGGCAGCAGCTCGAAATGCTGCAGCACCCTGCAAATGGTGCACTTCATCTCGAGCATGGCGAACTTCTGGCCAATGCAGTTGCGCGGACCCGCCGAGAAGGGCACATTGGCATATGGATGCACCTGGTGTGGTTGCGATTCTGTCGTCGTCGACGTGAACACGTCGCTGGCAAAGCGCTCGGGCCGGAATTCATTGGGCGCCTGGAATTCGCGAGCATCCCTTAGCAGCGCAAAGATGCCCACAAAGAAATCGGTGCCGGCGGGAATGCGTTTGCCGCCTGCCAAGGTTGAGTATATATCAAAATTTGATAGCCCTACGTGACATCACTTACGTATCTGCACATCCTCGCTAAAGGTGCGCGCTATGATGGGCACGGGTGGATAGAGGCGCAACGCCTCCTTGATTACACACTCCAAATACTCGAGCACCTCGTCAATCTCATTGATCAGGCGCTGCTGCACGGCCGCATGGCGTGAGATCTCGTAGAAACAGAACGATATGCCGCTTGTGGTTGTGTCATGGCCCTCGAACATGAACGTGTCCACCTCTTCGCGTATATCTTCATCGCTCAGCGGCGCACCATTCAACGCGGTGGCCTGCAGCAGCACATCTAGCAGCGCCAAGCGACGCTTTTGACCCGGAACGTTGCCCTCATCGCCAGTATTTAGCTGCTGCTGCTGATCGTTGACGAGCGCCTCGCGTCGCTGCTTAATGATGCATTCGGTAAACTCGTGCATTACTCTGATCAGCGCATCCTACTTCTTGGCCAGCCTTGGCTTCATCAAACGAAATATCCATTCATTGCGCAGCCATGGCTTTATAAAGCGGTCTGTCATGATGCTCGCTAACCTAAGAGATCAGACAAGAAGTCCTCGGATAAGGTTGAATCAATTGCGGTCCACTGCATCCTCCGGAATACTCACTCATATATAGCCTGCACATATGGCAAGTGGGGCTGCTTCTGTGCATTTACTTTGGTGCCCATGGCGGTTTCTAAGGATGGACTCAATGCCAAGAGTAAACATAGTTTTAGAAATTTATAAAAAGATGTGACTGACTGACTGGCGGGCTAATTGATTGATTGATTGATTGATGCTTAACGCACAGCCCGAATTTCGAAGTATGTAGCTCTGTTGATCTATGTGTTACATCTGCCAAATCATTCTGATTAGCTCACCTGCTATAATATCGAGTGCCGTTAGAAAAATAAAGGGTACTATGTTGAGCGGAGTTCGGCCGTCGGCATGCTGCTGCAGCTGCAGCACCAATATGGAGCTCTGCTGATCAAAGATGTCCACGAACTCCTCGAGTATCTTGAAATGGAAGGTGGGCGTAATGATTTTGCGTCGAGCACGCCATTTGCTGCCCGTGCTCATCAGGAGGCCGGTGCCCAGCCAGGGCCGCAGCAGATTGTATATATTGTTCTTTGTGATTAACTGTGGACTGCCCAAGACGAACTCCACATCACGCGGATCGGTGGAGAAGATGGCCAGCTGATAGAGCGCCCAGATGCGATACATGCGACCATATTTCTTGCAATTGGCCAGCGTATAGTCCATTATATCTGCAAACGATACAAGCCAATCGACAACTCCAGCCGCAGCACGAGAGGATTCGTCAGACACTCACGTTCGCCATCAATGCCGCGATAGAGGAGCACATTCCCTAGAAACGGCAATGTCGGCGGACCTGGCATATAGTGC